AATGGCCAATGGGAGAGGGTAAAAAATACTCTCTGCTTCGAGGACCGGGGCATTGATAGAGTTTGGTCGAAGGATTTGAAGCCGCCGAGGGCGCATTCACCTCCAGAATGAGCGCTGTATATAGTTCGTTCGGGCTTGTTTTCACTTGTTTGCTTTTGACCCTGGATTTGTCAGCTTGAGTGAGCAATCAAGAATTTCGACTGGACTTCACTTTCATCGACTAGACTTTGCCTTCACTTGTCTCGATGGATGATTTGTTCTCTCACATTACTGGAGACAATGATCCAGCAATGGATCAACCACTTGGGAGGTCGACAAAACCCAAGAAGAAGAAGCGAAAAGTTGTGATTGCAGAGGTGGCGCTGGAGTCTATGGAGGTTGACGGGGTGTCTAATCCACAAGGGACCGGCGGGCCTTCAAATGTCGAGGAACCGTTATCCAAGAGGCAAAAGGTTGGCGCCGTTGAGCCGGTAGAGGTTGATGCGGTCGAAGTTCAAGCGCAGAGAGAGGTGGCGGTTAGTAGTGGGTTGACGGGGCAGGAAACGTCGGAGCAAGGGGCGAGTCTTGTGTTGACTCATCAGGTGGGTCTGGTTTGGCGTCGCTATTATTTCTGTTCACGTTGTTCTAGGTTCGACACCAAGTCGCTCTTCCACCTGGCTATCCATACATACCTATTAAATCGCATGTTCCTCCGGAAAAGCCTGCGCGAGAGTACCCCTTTACGCTCGATCCTTTCCAGCAACTCTCAGTGTACGCTATTGATCGGGACGAGTCTGTACTGGTATCCGCCCATACTAGTGCGGGTAAGACTGTCGTAGCGGAGTATGCGATTGCAAAGTGTCTGCGAGATAAACAACGAGTAATTTATACAAGCCCTATCAAGGTGAGCGGGTTGCTTGGTTAGAGTGTCACATTCAATTGATTTCTGTTCAGGCCTTGAGTAACCAAAAGTACAGAGAAATGCTGGCAGAATTTGGGGACGTTGGGCTTATGACTGGGGATGTGACGATCAACCCGACCGCGTCGTGTTTGGTTATGACCACCGAGGTATGTCGAGTTATACTCTAGACGAGTCGCTGTTCTGACCCGTTTTTAGATTCTTCGGTCAATGTTATACAGGGGTTCAGAGATCATGCGCGAGGTTGCTTGGGTGATTTTTGACGAAATCCACTACATGCGGGACGCAGGTTGGTGGTTATTACAATGTTTGTCAAGCCATGCTCATAGGTTATTATTAGAACGTGGAGTCGTCTGGGAAGAAACCATTATTCTCCTACCGCACAAAGTCCACTATGTTTTCCTTTCTGCCACTATTCCCAACGCAATGGAGTTTGCACACTGGATCACCAAAACCCATGAACAACCCTGTCATGTCGTTTATACAAACTTCCGCCCAACGCCTCTACAGCACTATCTCTTTCCGTCTGGTGGCGATGGAATCTACCTAGTTGTCAACGAAAAGAGCGAGTTTCGAGAAGACAACTTTCAAAAAGCGATGGGCAAGCTCGCCGCATTGCAGGGTGAGGACCCAGCGGACGCGTTCGGTGGACGAAACAAGAAAGGGAAGACCAAAAAGGGCGGTCCGACCAAAGGTATGAGCCAAATTTGCCCGTTTTGGATACTCTAACTTTTGACCTCAGGCCAATCCGATATTTACAAAATCGTCAAGATGATTATGGCGAAAAACTACAACCCGGTCATTGTTTTCGCTTTCAGCAAGCGCGAATGTGAAGCTCTGGCCTTACAAATGTCCAAACTGGAGTGCAACTCGGAGGAAGAGCAAGAAATGGTTCAAAACGTGTTTACGAATGCTATTGCTGGGCTTTCTGAAGAGGATCGACAACTCCCTCAAATCGATCACTTGCTCCCCCTCCTCAAGCGTGGTATCGGCATTCACCACGGTGGATTGCTCCCAATTCTCAAGGAGGTGATCGAGATTTTGTTCCAAGAGGGGCTTATCAAGGTCTTGTTTGCGACCGAGACATTCTCGATTGGGCTCAACATGCCTGCCAAGACTGTTGTTTTCACCGACGTGGAGAAGTTTGATGGTCGATCCGTGCGTCCGCTCTCGTCTGGAGAGTACATTCAAATGTCGGGTCGTGCTGGGCGTCGTGGACTGGATGACCGTGGTGTGGTCATCATGATGGTCAACGCGAAACTCGAGCCGGCAACTGCAAAGGGAATGGTCAAGGGAGAAGCGGATCGCCTGGACTCGGCATTTCATCTGGGATACAACATGGTGCTCAACTTGATGAGGGTCGAGGGTGTCAGTCCCGAATACATGCTCGAGCGGTGTTTTTACCAGTTCCAGAATGGCGCCAAGGTCCCCGGCCTCGAGGCTCGTGAGTCCACCGGCCAAATCGTTGACTGGCGCTAATGATGTTTCCAGAGTTGACCGAGCTGGAGGAGAAAAAAGCTGGGCTCGTTGTACCGGAAGAGGAGTCGATCGCCGAATATTTCGAAATTCGCAAGCAACTTGACGAGCTAGGCAACGATTTCCAGGCAGTCATCACACACCCGACGTACGCGCTGCCGTTCCTGCAACCCGGGCGACTCGTCGCTGTCAAGCATGGAGGCCAAGACTTTGATTGCGGAGTGGTAGTAAACTTTTCGCAACGGACTGCGCCCAAGGTTAGTTCCAGCTTTTGTCGTGCTTGCCGTTCACTAATGCTTTGCGCAGACCAAGTCGGCAGAGGCCGCATTTGATGCGCTCCCTCCCCAGGAGAAATATGTCGTTGACGTTCTCCTAAACTGCGCCAAGGGCTCTATGACCAAAACTGGCCCTTCGGAGAGCGTTGGCGCGTTCATACCTTGCCCTCCCGGTCAAGAGGGCGAACCTCTTGTATGCCCGGTCTTGTTATCGGCCATTGCGAGCATCAGTCACCTGCGAGTGTATTTGCCCAAGGACTTGCGTGCATCGGCTCAGCGAGAGACACTGTGGAAAGTCGTGCTGGAAATCAAGAGGCGATTCCCAAAGGGTCTTGCCTTGCTCGATCCCATCGAAAATATGAACATCAAGGACTCCAAGTTTAAAGAGCTAGTAGAGGTACGTGCCAGCATGTATAGCGGTGTCCTTGACTGATCATCCCCTAGCGCATTGCCACACTCGAAAGGCGTCTGGAAGCCCATAGCCTACACAACGACCCTCGTCTTCCTACCATCTACGACGCTTATGCTCAAAAGCAAGATTTGGTTGGGGAAATTCGTGCACTCAAGAAGACCCTCGCAGCCGCGCACGACGTAATGCAAATGGACGAGCTCAAGTGCCGCAAACGTGTGCTGCGTCGACTTGGATTCGCGAGTGCGACCGACGTGGTGGAGATCAAGGGTCGAGTGGCGTGCGAGATCAGCACCGGGGACGAACTGCTGTTGACCGAGATGATTTTCAATGGCGTTTTCAACACCTTGTTGCCCGAGCAGTGTGCCGCGCTCTTGAGCTGCTTTGTGTTTACCGAAAAGGTGCGGAGATTCAACGGTTTGATAGTAGCACATACTGAGACTCTGACAGAGCGAGCAAAAAACAAAGCTCAAGGAAGAGCTTGCCGCACCTTTGCGAGTGCTCCAAGAGATTGCACGTCGGATTGCCAAGGTGTCCAAGGAATCCAAACTCCCGCTGGACGAGGAAGAATACGTGCAATCGTTCAAGGTTGAACTGATGGACTTGGTATTACAATGGTGTCGCGGCGCCAAGTTTGCAGACATTTGCAAGGTTTGACTCGTACTTTTACCTCGGAGCGCATCTAACACCACTATTAGATGACCGACCAGTTTGAAGGCAGCCTGATCCGTGTGTTTAGGCGACTCCAGGAACTCATCCGACAAATGACCCAGGCGGCGCATGCAATCGGAAATACGGAACTGGAAGAAAAGTTTACCAAGGCGTCCGAAATGCTCGAACGCCAGAACTCGGTCATCTTTTGCTCGTCGTTGTATCTGTAGCTTTGTAAAGGAGGTGTCTTTGGGCCAACTGACCCTTGCTGTCGCTGTTTGTTTGGACGTTATTAAGGGTTATCTATCTGTTTTCTTGCAACTCAGGTTAAAATCGAGGAATCAGCCAAAGTCTTTAGATTAGCCCCGCATACATGTACATCTAGTCTATTTTATTGAATGTTGACTAAAGTTTGTCAATTCACTCCTCTGCTGAGCAGAAGCCCACCGGGCTAAGCAGAAAACCTCAAGTCCCTCAAAATAGCTCCTATCTCAAAACTAGTAGTAATTGTATTACTTTGAGCATAGATTTACTCGGGAGCTTGTGGGACGCAGCGAGCGGAGGAAGTATAAGCCGTACTCGGCCGCAGAAAACAGGACCCGGGCGCATCACGTGTCCTCGGCCTCCTTTAGAGGCCTACCGAGGTCCGCGCACGCTACGTCCTCGTAGTTTGTCGTTTTCCCACCGTCCACCCCTCGCCGTTACACCCGGAACACCTAAGCACGCATACACCGAGTCTAGCGCCTCACCCTAGCCTGTGATCCCCACTCTTGCAGCCTCGACGGCCCGGTCTAACAACCTTGCCGCCTTCGGCGGCTCGTTTTCCCAACACACCGCGTATGTTAGACTCGGTGTTGTGTCGTTGTCATATGTATAAGACAGCTCGTTGTCCAATCGCAGGCAGAGTGGTGATTCTAGATCTGAAAGCACGTAAAAGTGACCTTGACCAATTTAAGAGCATGTGGCCATTTTCAAGGATAGTAGCCATTTATAGGGACTCCGAGGCTTTCGGCCTGGCCCAGTGGGTTGCTGTTAACAGAAAAGTGAGCTGGCGGGCTGCTCAGTGAACATTCAACAAAATAAAGTGGATGTATGCGCAGCTGATCCAAAGACTTTGGCTTTGGCTAATTTCTCACTTTCAGCCTGGGCTGCCGGAAAACGGGCAAATACTTTTTAAACCCGTCTATGCGTACTTGAAAGCGACAGCAAGGGTCACCCAACAATGGGTAGCATTGATTCAAGTGAGTCCTGTGGGAGGGGAACATGATACTTCATGAGAGATGGTTTTCAACCCTCGGTAGCTCAGTTGGAAGAGCGTGGGACTGTAATTGGATTCGAACCAAAATCCCAAGGTCACTGGTTCGAACCCGGTCTGAGGGACTCCTTTTTGGACTCTGTTTTGTGTGGAATGTCATGAATGGTAGTGC